GAAAATACGGAACTTATGTGATGATGATAACAACTCTATCGTCTCGATTTAAATTTTATTTTTCTCGTCATGGAGATGATGGAGAATCATAACCCTAATTCTCACGATCTTCTCAGACTAGATACACGACCTAAATCCTGATCGGAGCTTCCTTTCGATCTCTTGAGTTCTGTGTTCGACCGTCTCGGATTTGCTGATTTTCGACAAGGTAAATCCGTATGTTCATCGTGGTACTCTGCTTCGAGACAATCTGTGCCCAAAAATAATACTATCCCTTGGCTGATTCTCTTACCCGAAAAAGACAATAACTGTTGTGTGTTGTTCAATCCTGAGCAAAAAGACAAACTTTACAAAACACAAGCTCTTGGCGATATCCTACGTTTAATCCCTACATTGTGAATCTCTTTACACAAGAGAGGATCATTCTACCTCCTGTGGAGTCACAGCTTGGAAAGGCAAAGACCAAGCGAACCTTAGGTGATGGGTTTCGCATTTCAAACAAGAGAAGAGACTTTAAAGGTTTTGATATACAATCCCCTGTGTTTTGGATTGACGAAGAAACCCAAGATTATGTTGTTATATGGGGACTTGGAAGATGGTGTGTGGTTTATTCCAAGAAAGGAGATAACTTGTGGAACCGAATTCCGGAAACTTTAGATTCTTATGACATGGTTTACAAGGATCACAAGCTTTACTTCCTAAGCGACCTCGGTTACCTGAAAATCTTTGATGTTTCTGGAGAGATTCCGCGAGAAATACTTCATCATCGTTAGTTCGATACTCATTTACCACTATCTGAATGGTGGACGTCACTGGAGATGTCCTCACGGTTGAAAGAATGTTTGTATATTGGTCGAGAGAATGGTCCTTCGACATCTACAAAGTTTGTTCATCAGGTTTTTTGAGGAAATGGGGAAAAGTGAATTCGTTGGGCGATGAGGCAATGCTTTTTGATCTAGGTATCACTGTACTCGCCAATGACATTGAGGGATTAAATAGAAATTACATCTATTTGGATGGTAGGCATCCAAGGAAAACAAACTTTCTTTACAATATTGAGACACAGAAGAGGGAGCGACTCCACAACTTTGATTGTTCGTCCATTCAATTCTCTGAAATTCGATGATTCTTACCAAGTTTCATGCAGACACATGATTGATTTTGCAACCATGCTTTTCCTCTTCAAGATCTCAACTGTTTTAATCAATATCTGTTTTTTTTCCTCTCTAATCAACGATAATGACGTGTTAATTTTCTGAAATTCAAAGTGATGTATAGGCAAATTGAAAAACAAATTCAGACTAGCAAATGTGTTACCAGATGATATGCTTTTGTTGTCAAATCTTACTTGTCTTTTTTGCTATTGGCGTTTGAGATAACGCGATCTGATCTACTAGAAGGAACACCTTTGAATAATTTTGGAATCAGTCTTTTTTATATAGCGAATCTGATAGAGACGATTAACTAGCACATTTTAATGATTGGGCTGAACAGGTGGATGTTTGTCTAGGAGTCGGTAACATTTCTGTTTTGTTATGTCTCGTTCGGTCGTTCCTAGTCCCAAATTCATGTTTTACTCGGGAATGCATTTTCATATGGTACAAGTTTTCATTTTTCATTTAGAATTAGGATATTCATAAAAAAATTCTATACCAGTAATTGTTGATAATAATAATAAAAAGTTAAAAATATAAACTCTTACACCAATATTATATCTTAGTTTCCTATTTATTCAGTATGTAACAAAGTTACCAAGTATCATATTATGTCAAATAATAATTAATTTATAATATGAATTTCATGATTGTCACATTTTATTTCTGTCCCATTCCATTCATATTCCGAACTCTAAATGAGACAATTATTTTGATTCTCAAGTTTCTGTCGCGTATGCGTTTTACAATATATCGTCCTAAATTCGTATATTGCCCACCCTTTCCGTTCTACTTAACCATGCCACTTAATCTTGTTTCGTCTAATACTTTCGTCTTGCACATTTTTATGGACCAAGTTTAGCGTTAAAACTCAACAAACCAGTTAATGATCAATGCCTAATGTACAAGCTTTTAATGAATTTTTTTTTTTTTTCACGTCTCGATCGATCTAATTTGAACTTTTTAGCTAAATTATTAATGGAAGAATCCCTTAAGTAAACCTTTTAACTAAATTATTAATGTAAAACCTCTCAAATAATGCGTTGTTAATAGAAAAAAATCTTCATTCTATAGTACCATCAAAATTGTAATGGTTTTCATTAAATCGATAGTATGCAGTTTGGTTTGTTAAAGTATCGTTTTAAGTAACTACTAGATTTTCACCCGCACTTTGTGCGGGAACATTCGTTTTTATGTTGTAAACTATAATTTCGAATTGTGTCGTATATAATATGTTCAAAGTGTGATATGTATTGTTTTAGTTTGTAAGTAAAATCGATTATTTTGAAAAAGTATGATTGTTTTTTTTTAGTTTGAAGGTAGAGAATAAGTATATTAAGTACTGAATTTTATAATGAATAATCATTATAGTTAGTATACATAAATTATAATATTTAGTTTTGAGCATGTACGTATATCAATAATTTAGTTTTG